TGATGTAAATCCTATTGTATCTTCCTTTGTTAGTGTATATTTTATTATAAAATGAAACAAAGGTACAGAAATTCATACAAAATCAACCCAAGGATTCGAGAACTGTATAACTGCATAATATTTCAGAATAATAGGGAATTTACTGGATTCATGGGTTGAAAAGAAGACAAACTGTTTAGGTCAGTGTGGTGCTATCTGTAAGTTTAGTCCTTAGGTTTAGTCCTCTAGAAAACTAGCTTTGGACATTTGACCAAGGGAGAATGTGTGCTCTTGGTAAAAGCAGTTGATCTTGAAGGGACCAGACACAGGTTCAGTGAATAGTAATTTGAAAAAAATTGTCCAAACTGAATTGACAATAAAGTTATGAAAAATGGGATGACTACTGGTGTGGTGTATTTAATTTTTTAAGTCTTGAATCATTACAACTTGTAATTGTTAGAGAAACTTTTATGTTTCAAAAGTTTTATTAAAAATAAATTATACAAAAATTCAAAGAGCATATAAGGTAGAAATGCTACTTTGAGTTCCACTCTCTGGAGGTAACCACTGTTAAGAATTTTTTGTATACATGCAAGGATATTTTCTGTATATATGCAGGTATTTTCTGTATATATGCAAGGATATCAACATATAATTATCAGATATCATATACTCATTTATGTATACACCTGAATGTATATTGTATTTTCTTTTAGAATAGGAATAGTGCGACCCTATTTTTTTTAACACCTGAAATATCTTTCTTTCATAGACCCTTATTACAACACAATTTTTCACTATTCTAATAGTACTCAGTATGGTTTTCTTTTGCATTTATCTGAAATCCTTTAGTCATAATTTTAAAAAATCCCATTTACATTTATTGCTATGACATAAATTTGGTCAACTTATTTTGTTACTTTCTTTTTTACTGATTTTTCTGTTTTCTATTTTCTACTGTGTGGTCAGGTTTTATTTTGTCTATTTCTCCCCTGCTGATAATTTGTTCTTTTTAGTAGTCTTCCTTCTAATTATATTTACTATGCTCAGATCTCTTTTCTTGACTTACCAATTTAAACGCTAACTCCTTGATGCCTGCTTCATAAGGCAAGGAAATCCTCCTGTGATAATGCTGTCTCCTAACCATCCTCCTTATTGGCTTTTGATTTTCATTAGTGATATTACTTTTATAGTGTCAGAGTATAAAATATTTAAATTTTTTCTATAATTATTGTTTGCACAGATGTTTAGCCTTAGCATTTACATGTAAATGAATGTATTGCTCACCTCTAGACCTGTCAATCTACAGCCTCATCAGAGTCCTAGTCTGCTTTTCTATACTTAAAACTGAGTAATTTATGAAGAATAGAAGTTTACTTTCTTACAGTTCTGGAAACTGAGAAGTCCGACTTTCCAAAAGAACCCTCTCCCCTTTTTTGTTTTCAGTGCTGGGAACCAAGCCCAAATCCTCACCCTCGCTAGGCAAGTGCTCTGCCACTGAGATACATTCCCAGTCCCCCACATCTTAACCACCACCATACGAATTAAGCTTCAACACACAAATTTTGAGGGATATTCAGACCAGAGGAATTCACGTGAATTCATTTTGATTCAATTCCTAGTTGCCTACTTTTCATTATTAATTAGTTTTCCAAGATGGGTCAAAAGGTATCATACCCACTCTCTATTTTTAAGTGTTCAAGAGTATTTTTCTTTTGTCTTTATTCACATTTGAAGCCAGCATTAATTTGCCTGAATTTAATCTTTCTCCTTGAAAGAATGCTCATGCTTACTACATGAGCACAACAACACTCAATTAACTTACAATTAATTTCATTTTCTACCATGTTCAAAATTTAAAGGAAAAAAAATGCTGCTTAAATGTAGTATTAGATGGTGTGGATATAATGATGTAAGGTCACCAGTAGCTTCAGTTCTTTAAGTTCTCTCCAGAAATCTTCTTCCAAATTTGCAGCATACACTGCCCTGGGAGTTTGTTTTCTATGGTCTTTGATTTGAGGGAGGAGGTAATCCTGACAAAAGATCTGTTTGCTGCTTAGTGAAGCCTCAAGTTTTATTTTTATGGGTTTGGGGTTATCCTTGCTCCTCTTGTCTTTCAAAGCAGATTGATTCTTCTCTCTCCCCCATCTCACCTCCCTAAAGTTTGCTCACCTCCAGTGGGTGCTGTGTGGGTATATGTCTCCCCCAGCCCTGCCCCCAAAGATTTTCCCATAATTCCAGTACTATACCCACCCCTGCCCTCAGACACTTCTTTTCTGAGTGAAGCAACAGTGGACTGTGGACAAAGAAATGCAAATAGGAGAGTGAAATTCAGAAGTACTATAGAAAAAAGAAACAACAAGTGTTTCCATAGCAGAGGGAGGGGGAAAGATTTAAATAATTCAAAGGTGATGTGCTCTGGAGAATGGGGAAACTAGGAGTACCATGAAATGAAAAAGGTTATATTATCATGGCTGTTTTGAAAAATAGATATTTTAACAGGTTGAGTTCCCAGTGGTGAAGAGACCTCCAAGTGGAAATGACTAGAAACAATTAGAATTCTCACATTGAATTGGGGCGGGGGAGGTCAGAGCTACAGAAACAAAATCGTTTTCCTTGACATTTCTCTCTTGAGAGAGTCTCTTCTGCCTCCATACACCCCCTTTCAGAGATTGCCTTGTCCTCCCCCACATGGAGAGACCCTGATATATGGCATAATAATGATGGTTCAGAGAAATTACTATTTCACCTACTGAGTGATTAATATGAAATTAGTTACTGCAACACTCAATGGTGCAGAGAAGATCGAGGAGGAATTTGGTTTTGTTTTAGAAAGAAAAAATACAAGATAAAATACTGCTTTGCATACACAGAGTACTCTTCATCTGAGAATCTTGACGCACTCAGCAAGCTTAATTAATGAGAAAACCTCTAAGAAAGAAGGGGGATGAAGTAAGAAACAGATTCCAGTGTTCTGTTTCTATAATTTTAGAAAATCAAGCTCAGTATTTTCTTCTTCTGTTAATACACAAGTGTAGCCCCATGCAGCAGCCAGGAGATATTCATCTTGCTGCTGAATGATTTTTCTCGAAGGCATCCCACTTATGAGGGCATCCCACAGAACCCCACACCCTAACTTCATTGATGTCCTCCGCTCTATTTGCAATGGAAATCCATCCCTATCATCATAGTGCAGCAAGCTTTCTCTGATAATCGAGTCCGCACTGTCCCTGGAAAGATTATTTTGTTGCAGAATAGAGCAGGTTATCTTCTTTATCAAAAATTATTCAAAACAAACATCCATGAATCTAGGACTAACATGCATCGAAAGGGGACAGGCAAGGCCTCTTAACGGGTACCCTACTGTGTAATCTTCCTTTCATCTTAATTCAAAATCCCTTGGAGATTCAAGTTGCCGTATGCAAAAATATAAATTCTTCTAATTACTTGTAGGTAGGGTACATAGTTGGGCCTACTCGAAAGAGACGTACAAACGTGCATGCTGGTATTTATTTTCATCTGTTGTGGCTTGAGGAAAGATGCTGTGTTTTTGTTTTTGTTTTTACTTTGCCTCCTCTATCTTTTTTTTCTTCCTTTTTCTTTCTCCTGCCCAATTTCTTTTCTTCTCCCTTCTACTCAAAACAAAACTAAAAATAAAAACAAAATGCTTCCTGTCCAAAAAATACACACACACACACACACATACACACACACACACACACACACACACACACCTTGAAAGATCATGGCTTCTGAAGATTTTGACAACAGATTTGATGTTTGTCAAATGAAACTCACCGCCATCTACAAAAATAACTGTTTTTGTTTGAAGGGGAGAAAATGCTAAGGAGTTTCAGATTTTATCCTGTCACTCATCCAGGCCTTTTCTGTATATCCCCAGACATACGTAGATCTTTCAGGTCTAGCCCACAGTCTTCTCACGTTCTCTGCGCCTAGGACTTCAGGTTTGTCCCCACCCTTTCTTGAGCATCTTTCTTTAGCCACTTGAACCTGCATCATCTCTCTCCCTCATCCTAAACACGCTGCTCCTTGTTTGCCCCGTGACAGAAGGTCAACTCTTTCCTAATTAGAGACAAACCCTTCTAGCATCATCAAGATCACCACTGTCTATTAGGATGCCACAGTGGCCTTTCCATTTTGTCACATAACTGGGAATTTAGGAGAGCCAATTTAACACTTTCCAGATTAAATGTCAAATCCTCAAAATTCAGATGGATTTGGAATCCACCTCAGTCTATTTTTCCGTTCCATTCCCAGCAGTACACAGTGGCACTGACTAGCAGCAACATTTTGTAATTTCACTGAAGGCTGTGGCGCTGTGGAATTCTGCCAGTAATGGTGTTTAATTCACTTATATGTGCCAATTCATCTCTGTCAGGAGCCTATTAATTTCTTCATTATTTTACTCTGTCCGTAGCCCCTATATAATGAGACACAATGATCCCTATTTGTGTAACCAAAAAACTTGGAGTCTCTTATAAATCACCCTGATCTCACTGCTTTTAGTGACCAGACTCTGTATTTCTTTTTTATATTTAAATCAATTTTTTTTTTTTGCAAATTCTTTTTCCTAGAAGAATACATTTTGGAACTCTAGAGCACTAAATAGTGAAGCCATAGAAAAAGGGTTACATTCTGATAGGCTATTATCATCCATCCCTGTCCCAGTGAACTCTTCCAGAATATCCACCAGAGATGCACTGTTTCCACGAACATTTCCCAAGTGCAAGGAAGGAATGCTATCGGCCCAGTCATCAGTGGGCAAGATGTTGAAATACCTACATCATAGCTATCAGAGTAAAGACCCCGTAACAAATAAAGGTCAGAGATATAAAATTAATCTTCTTAGGCTGTCAGCATTTCTGCATGGTGTGATCCTGAGCAAACGAGGAAATGACAGCTGAGTGACTAGCAAGAGTTAATATAGACTTAGGAGAGTATTTGTTGTATTAGTATATGAAACTCATATATGTCTCTGCTACCTCTTCTACATTTTTCAGGATTGGAGCAAAACATCAGGAGCTGAGGGAAAAGCAGGCCAGAGATCTTGTTGATTATGCTACTAGTGCAGCTGGGTCTGCGCACGATATGGAAGATGATGAAATGGACCCGAATTACGCCAGAGTGAACCACTTTCGGGAACCATGTGCATCGGCAAATGTCTTCAGGTCTCCATCTCCCCCTCGGGCTGGACCCCTAGGTTACCCTCGGGATGGCCGACCACTGTCTCCAGAGAGAGACCACTTAGAGGGTCTCTATGCCAAGGTCAACAAGCCATATCATCCACCAGCTCCAGTTGACAGGTAATGTAACCCAGTGAAAGATGAATGTAGTTTTAATTCAGTAAGTTTCAAATCATCTCTATGGCTAAAGCAGATAAAAATATATCCTTCAGTCTATTAAGACTGAAATGACACGGTACCACAGACAAGTGCTTCACCTCGACCTACCCGTAAGGTATCAGCCATCAAAAATAAAACAATAACTGGCTATAAGGTGGCATGAATGAATGGTGGTAGAGGAGTTCATGGTGCAACAGGGAGTCATTTTGGCAGGAATATTGTGACAGAGAACTAATGATGAAAACTTTGAAGGAATATTGTCCTTTCTCCTAGAGCCTTATTGTAAAAGACTTATTCAAGAAGATGGCGTGAGACTTGGAGGTGAGGAGTCAGAGAAGAGAAAATGATGACTCTCAAGTAGGCATGATTGAAGTGGAGTTATAGATAGATGTGGAGTGGGGGAACAGGAAACTTCGGAATTCCACATTCAAGGAAGATGTGATTCTGTATAGGTATTCACGGATGATCAGAGGTAGACAAGGAGATGATCTTAATGGTAGATGTTGTTGAAGTAGAAAAGGATAGGAGGTGACAAGGACAAGATCTTTAGGTTTAGCAGCTAAGGAAAGAGATCATAGGATCATTTGTTAGTACAATCCAAATAGGTGGGGAATAAGAGGATTTCAGCTATACCTCCTGCCAAAAGTGAAACGCCTTGTGTCCCCAAAAGGCTGATCTAAGGGATTTTTGCTCAATGCCTTGTTAGGTGATCCTTGGAATTACATGTGCAAGGAATGGGTTGGTGACCTTCCTCTAGTCTGTCCGTAGCCTTGCAATCTGGAGGCAGGAGGTGATAAGGAAGTGTGGCAGGCATGAGAGCTTTCGGTCTAGATGAAAAAAGACTTGTTTTCTAGATTTCTCAGAGTCCTGATAACCACCCAGTCCCTATTAGTAGCCAGCTTTTGTGTGATGGCATGATGTATCGGGTAGGTTTACCGTTTACATTTCCCCAGCTGGGCGATATTATGCACTTTCAATTAGGTTGGGGAGAGGAAGGGAAATCATGGCATTTTTATGCAGACTGTAAAGTGTAGCTTCACAAGACTGATTACCTTTCAGAGCCTTTCCAATAACCAAGTAGGAAGGAAGGAGTAATTTTTAATCCTTACTGTCAAGTTTCCAGGTTGATAATATTAAAGAAAGATGGTCAAGTTTTTCTTTGGGACAAAATGAAAATATAAATTCCTATGACTGTGTGATATAGCCATAATAACTAAGCTGCTAATTCAGAGGATTGATTAAGAGTTAGCCTTTTTTTTTCTTCCCAGCCTTCAAATAAGGTTGAATTTTATCTTGTAAATAATAATACTGTGTTTCAGTCTATTCTGGCCTAAAGCATAGTCAATCTTCTTCCCTCTAAATCAGATAAGTCGTCATAGCAATCTTCTTTGCATATATCCCCTGCTAGAATCCCCGTGCAGAGGGACTGTTTCTTGGACCTTCTCAAGCTAGTATTTCCCATTACCAATTCCATAGAAATAAATATGAGGCATTATGTAAGAAGAGGTTCTGAAGCCAAATACACATGGGGCTTTCTCGTTAGGTCACAGGAACAGGTTTCCTCCTGTGGTCTTCTTAGACTTGATATGCTAACATGCATTTTAACGTTAAGTGGACCAAGCAACAACCAGCATTCATCACACCCCAGATTTTTGTCAGCTAAACTTATTTTTCCTCCTAGATCTGATAGTGATTTTTTAAAGACACTACATGGGACACGCTGCCCTAAGCTAAATTTCATCCATATAGATTTGACCAGGAAAGAAATTTCCTAGGATAATCTCAACTGTAGCCACTAAAGAATAGCATCAAGAAAAAAGTAAGTTATTTACTGCCCTGCCCAGAAATCTCCATGACTAATAGGGTCTTACATTTGGCTCTGACCCCTTTGTATTAATAAATGATCTGAAACTGCTTTCAGTAGAGTTTTAGACTGTTGTCATATGTTTGGAAAGCAGATCAAAGGGTGGCTCTTTTTATTCAGAATTAGCTTTATTTGGCTCTTTTCTTTAATTATACTTAAAGGCTGTTCTGCTTCTTGTTCTTGAAGTCTTACAGCAAGCAATTTTTGTCTTGGTGCAAAGTCAGCTTTCCATAATGTTATCTGTGATAATGGTTACCATGATTACTGTCATTATTGTCCTTTAAGAATGAAATTCTGGCCCAGGTAAGCCTAAGAAGAATTCCTTTGGTGTCCCCAGTGGTGTCCATAGATAGCCACAGGAGTTCTAAACCTCATTTGCAATTAAAGGGAAGCATCTTTTACCTACCCATTTGTTCCACCTTTTAGTAAGTATTTATTTGACACCTACTGTGTTCTAGGTGCCGTAGAAAGCTCTAGGGAAGATGCAAGGATGATCAGGACATGGTCCCAATCCAGAGAAGGCCATGTTCTAGTCAGTTGGGGACCAGCACATGTAGAAATGGATAATTGCAATATCAATAGAAAAGAAAGTATTTTTGTCCTAACTCTGCCTGGGCTAGTCAGGAAAGGCCTCCAAAAGGAAGTGATATTTGAACTGGCTCTGGAAGGGCTTGTAAGTATTGACCAGATTCCATAGGAAAATTGTTCTCCTTTCAGAATAATCAAGCATGTATAATGGTACAGTGGCTGAAGGAAACATGCATGCTAGGGAAGCTCAGAAGCCCAGACCACAGGCAGGAAGGAAAGTGGTCGGAAATGAGATGGACAGCAGGTCGGGGCCAGCGTGTGAGTGAATGGGCTGCATCTTATGCTGAGACTTATTGACTGGTAGCAGGTGTTGGGGAGTCTGTGTTAAGAAGGGTCCTGAGGTTATGCCAGAATAGTGGTACCTGCCCCGAGCTCCAGAAAAATGAGTGATGGCACGTGTGCTGTGAATATTAATGTATTTCCCAATACAGTGGACGATGGGAGCTATGAAAGAAAGTGTCATAAAAATTGGGGACTGACCAGTTAGATTTGTATTTAGGGAAAATGGCTCTTTCAGCCTGATGGCGTCTAAGAGAAGATGGTCAGACTGTAAAACAAATTGGGATACAACGTCAATATTAAGAGATGACAAGGACCTGGAGAAATAGAGTGGCACCAGAGGCAGGGGAAATAAAAGCAGCCAAAAACCTTAGTTTGAAATTAAGAGAACGATGCTTAGCAGGTACCACCAAAGGAGGCTTTCAAATGCTCCAGAGGGATCAACAGAATGAAGAATAAAAAGGGAATTTTGGATTTGGCCACTAAGAAGTTATCAATTTACTTAGAGTAATTCCAGTAGCTTAGTAGGAGCAGAGGAAGATTGTCATGAGAAGAGAATTGGCTAGAAGATGAGAACTTGGTGAGTTTGTGGTAAAGAGAGAACAGAGTTGTTACAGGATGAATGAGAGTACACCTTTGAAATTCCTTCTGTGACAGTAGTTCAAAGCTAATATGAGAATACAGAAACCCTCCAGAATAAACTTTTCATGTCATCATTATAGATACTGCTACCCAGAGAAGCTGAGTGACTTGCTCAAAGTCATACAGCATGGAGTCAGGACTTTATTCTAACTTTTTCTATATTGTACAGTCTTCTTCTCCCTACCCTATACTGCTATATAGGCCCACGCTCTCATTTCTTCGTTAAAGAAACTGGCACAATACCCAGAAAGGTAGAGTGGCATCCATGTGGGTTCTCAACATGTAAATGGCAGGTTAAACCATGGCTTTAGGAATTAGGGTAATCTAGGCCCAGTCCTCTTCCAGACAACAACTGCGTGACTCCCAGTAAAATAAATTTTCCAACGTATCAGGTCTCATCTTTGTGAAAATAACAAATACCTGTGAGTGTCTGGTAAGGGCCAGGACCAGCACTTGGTGCTCATTTCACTAGGGAGCCAAGGTAGACAGGAGCATTACCCCAATGGGGCTCACACAGCATGGTGGATACGAAGACCTAAACATGCAGGAGGACACTGGGAAAGGGGCCGCAGCAGGGTCAGCTCAGGTAACTGCAGCTGGGGCTGTTGGTGGGGAGGCAGGGGGCGGGGCAGTGCGGTGAACACAGAGGTGTGTTAGAGGAACTCAAGGAAGCTCAACCAGACAGACACCTGGTGAGAGGGGCAGATGGAAACAGAGAAGATGGGAGGGTTGGAGAGCTGCACCCAAGGCAGGCAGAGCCTCCCAGCCTTGGGAGGGGCTTACAGCCACCCCAAGAGAAGCAGGGTGGAGCTGGGTAGCTCCCTCATGGTGTTAGCATGAGAGTAACCCTGGGATTCCAAGGCTGTCAACTCCTCTCTGGAAACCAAGTTTTCTCACGAGGCCTCCTGTGCTTCACGTTTTCTTGTCCCTCTATGTAACATACCATGTTTACCCATGTGGCTCTCTCAGGATTGCCTCATGTGTGTGATACACAGTAGCTTCCTTTAGGGGCAGCTTCTATCCCCTAGAGCTGACCCTGAACCATCAGCCTTTCTCAGAAGAAAACCATGGCTCATAAAGGCTTCAGCTGTAAATGATTGTGGTTAGAACAAACCTGTGGCCACCGTGACGGAGACCTGTGGCTGCTCTGCCGGGATCTGCACCAGCAGGACAGCACCTGGGGTAATATTGTGCTGGTGTCCCCTGTGAGACCAGCAGGTCGAAGGCTCCCACGGCATCTGGACATTAAAACTCCATGTGGAAAGAGGACAGAATAGTCCCAAATAGGAGAACCAGAAGTTGTATGTGACACTCACTGGGTACCACTGTGGTACGGAGTGTGTTCGTTTTTGTGATTGTTTAACGCACCTTACTAGAGATTGCCAAATATGTTTGATCACACACACTGTATTTAAAAATGATTTGGTGTCTTCACTTCTCAAAAGATGTGTGTTTATTTGTTCCTCAATGATAGAACTTACTTATCCCAATAACATATGATAGAAATTATAAAACATATCCCAAATATAGAATTTAATAAAAGAATTAGATTTTTTAAAATCCCAGCATAAGTAGCAGTGCTAATATT